GTGTGATTAAAGTGGTGGGTGGGTTCTTTTACATTTTGAGAGAAACCAATTGAGTCTAATAACAGATTAAATGCCATGTTGAGGCTGTCATTTTTAGCATCTACATGGATGTTAAAATCACCCACAATAATTATTTTATCTGAGCTGAGAACTAAATCAGATAAAAAGTCTGAGAAATCAGACACCCCTATTTATTTTAAGTCCATCTTCAACATGGAATGACCCAACTAGCTCATCTATGATAATAGCAGCATAAACCAGTACACCTCCTCCACCTTGTTGGTGTCTGACTCTAAGTGGTGCCCTTACTCAGTTCAGGATTCATCCACAAGCCCATGAAGATTTTTCTTTTCTCCTACAGCCTCCCACCCAGTCTCAGCAGCTGGATCTCCCTCCCTTATATGGGTTCTGTTGGAGATTTCTTCATATTAAATTCTTCCTTCCCACTGTCACTAAGTGCTGCTCAGAGGGGATCATCTGACTGTTGGTTTTCCTCCTAATACTGCAAGATCTTTACATGACTTTAAAGGCTCTTATCTTCACTTTGTGTTAAATGACTGTTTTAGGTGATTTTTAGAGTTTAAGAAATAAATCAAATATATTCAGATATTAATGTTTTACAAAGTTATCTGTCTGAAAACATTAGCAGTAACTTCAGATTAACTTAGTGAAGACTAATATATTAAAGTTTGCCGTGTGCCACTGACCTTTGACCTGCAGCTGAACATCTGTCAGTCTGGGTTCTTCTCCCGTCACTCTGATGGTGCAGGTGTAGTTGCTGCTGTCAAAGATGTGGGGTTTCCTCAGAGTGAGGCTGAAGTCTCCAGTCTGCAGAGCGTCAGTCTTCATGGATGTTCGGTCTCTGTAACGCTGGTTTTGATCTGTCAGCTCGTCCTCTTCCTGCTGACGCTGGTGGACGGTTGGAGGATTGAGGTCGTAGCGGCTCCACACCACTGTGGAGGGTCCAGACACAAACGGGATGTGACAGGGCAGCAGGACTGACTCCGCCCCCTCGTACACCTCCAGCGTGAGGACTTGGTGGGACACTGTGAGGACACAGAGAGACCAACACAGCTACAACAGGCGACACAAAGGTTTTCTGCTTCATGTGCAGCAGCTAGCATGTATACACTCCCTTCACTGCTCTTCCCACAGTTCCTGTTTCCCTGCTGTTTGCTGAGAAGCCTGATAAAGTGTTAACATCTGACCTCTGATCTGTATCTACAGCAACGACCTCTGGCCTCATACCTGATTGTACAGCAAGTTTTTAAGTTTGTTGCTGACCTTTGACCTGCAGCTCTACTGCTGTCAGTGTCCGTTCATTTCCAAATGCACTGATGGTGCAGGTGTAGGTGCCGCTGTCAGAGGTGATGGGGTTCCTCAGAGTGAGGCTGAAGTCTCCGGTCTGCAGAGAGTCCGTCGTCATGGACGTTCTTCTCCTGTAACGCTGGTTTTGGTCTCTCAGTTTATCTCCTGCCCGGCTACGCTGGTGGACAACTGGAGGATCGAGGTCATGGCGTGTCCACATCAGAGTGGGGTCCAGAGGTACAGAAGTGTCCTTGCAGAGCAGCAGGACAGACTCCACCCCCTCATACACCTCTAGACCCGAGGCATGCTGGGAAACTGAGGACAGAGACAGAAACATGAATCAGTCTAAACCTTTGGAGTCCACACAAACCTGTGAAAATATAAAACATCAGCCACACACTGTCTTAGGTTCAGAATGTTATTAGTTCTTATTAGAGCTGAACTGTTAAGGCCTTTACTCACCAGGCGTGTAACATTCATGCAAATATTTGGTGTGTTAAAATATTTTTCTGACTCTTTTTTTAATACATCTTTTCACATCAAACATGTTTCATGAAATTTTTGGGCTCAAGCTCAATTTCTCAGATTTTTCGCATGCAAATAAACAGATCTGGTCAATCAGATCACTGCATTTTACAACAAGCTAATAGTAGAAAACATGCACTGGTACTAAATATCGATCCACCCATTCTCTTCCACTTATCCAGTTCAGAGTCACCGGGGGGCTGGAGTCTATCCCAGCTATCGTAGCGTAGACCATGGACAGGTCAGCAGTCTCAGGGATAACAGAAAGAGAGACAACCATTCACACCTATGGACCATAAGAATCATCCAATAACCCAACCCCACTGACTGTGTGTGTCTTTGGACTGTGGGAGGAAAGCAGGGTAAATGGAGAAAACCCACACAAACATGATGAGAACAAACTCCACACAGAAAGGCCTCAGCCTGATCTTGAAGTCACCTTCTTACTGTGAGGCAACAGTGCTAACCACTGCACCACTGTGCTGCACCACATTAAAGCATTGAGAGATCATCACTGCAACATTAATCTACAACAAAGTACATCCACCTTCTGAAGCAGCCTGGATAAATATTTATTTTAAATAAACTAAATGAACTCTATGGTCTCTGGTTATTTTACATCACATGGCTGCTTTTACATGTTGTGGTCGATGTAAACTTTAGCAAAGAATTGCTAAGATTGTTTGATTTTAGGGGAAAGTGAAAAATCAAGAGAAATTCAAAAAATATAAAACAAGTAATAAAATTTAAAAAAAAAAAACACCTGCCAATTTTCAATTTTATCTGGAAAAACAAAAACTTATTATGATAAATGTCACAACAAGAATATTTCCTGATAAAAATGGAATCAAACATAAGATCAAATTGAAAATAAAATAAATTCAAAATCTCCTTAAAAATCCATTGTGAAAAATTGTGAACGCTACACCTCTTCTTCTCTTTCACTCAGTCAGAGGATGATCTTTGTATTAAGGTGGAGTATGAATGATTATGTTCACAAACAGATGTTACTAAGCTGCCCACTTATGTACAAACATAATATTTACATAATTCTTATCCCATGAAAATCACATCTGGAACAACAAGAATAAAAATAAGAGACTTTTTATCAAACCAACTGATCAGAAACATGGTTCTCAGAAGCTCGACTCTGCCTCGTCTCCTTTTGGATCAATAACTCTGAACATTAACTGGAAACAGTTTTTACTTCTGAATGTTCAGAGGTGACTTTAAATGATCCTCAGCTGTGAAGATGTTCTTAACTTTGCTCGTTCTGAAACAGTGATGCTTCTCTGCTGCACTGATGTGATGAACTTTGTTCATAAAACAGGTTTTATTGTCTCTTTGTACCATCGTTACCGAGGACGATGGCGATTCATTTTTCATTTATGGTGAATATCACATCCACAGCTGACAGTTTCCACACCTGAAACCAAAGTTTAACACATTTTAATCTTGTTTCAGTCGTTTTACAAATAACTTGAAGCTCAGTCTCTGAGAACAAAAACAGAGTCTTTGTAATTCTGTAAACACTCGAGCATTGCATGTGTTGTTCATGCTGTCTGCACTGTGTGACTTCATCTGTCATATTTATACTTTTCTGTAAACTGTTTGTGTTCAATAAAGGTTAAAAACATCGAGGCTCTGACAGTAAA